ATGTTGGAAGGTGTAGACTAAGGAATGTCTGGGGGGACAATCAGGAGACCTAATCAGGTAGTTTTGGGGGGCTTCAAGCAAAGATAGAGATTAAACCTGGAATCTTCTCCTGAAAAGCAAGTGCTTTACCCCTGTACCTTCATGCCAACATAGATGGACCTTTTACAGTCTCCTGGCCTCTGTTCCATTTGTGGATTCTATGGAGAGGTAATTAGCAGAACTCTGACTTTGGCACTGGAACTGATGCTTCTCCAATGAACTTCTCTCTCATGTTTTGCTCATCTGACAGCTGCCCTGCTATCCTCTTCCCCTCCATCGATATTGCAAAATCTATATTGCATCTCTAGTGCAACCACCTTTAGAAGACAGCCCTTTACATGCTTTCTAGTCCCTGGGAAATTTTACCAGCCTCTGGCAGGTGCAGCATAAAGACTTTCTTTGCTCCTGTATTAGTTCAGAATGGTGTTTCTTCCACATTGCCTTGCCTTTAAACAGCTGCAAAGGGGGAGGGGCCACCAGAGAAAGCACCACCCCCTTCTTGGACGACATGCTGGGTCCTACACACTCTCTCTTTGCAGCTCCAAGCTGCTTCCAAGCTCTGTTTTGCTTTGATTTCTTACGCTTGTCCTACCCTGACAGCTCCGTCTCGTCTCCAACAACTGCAGCCTTTCCCCTTTTGGAGCAACAGTATTTCAACTCTCTGGGGTTGGTTTTTTTTTTTTTGGTAACTGCCATGAGGAATACAAACTATTTTTTTTTCTTTGCTCTGCTTTCCTTTTCTATTAACGGTGAGTGATCTTTCTCTTTCTGTACTGTTTTTAAAAGAACCTTTGCAGCTTGGAAGCAGCACTTTTAGCAATTACTTAAGAAAAGCATATAATCATCATCAAAAAAGGGCTCTCACTTGCTAGAAAGATTGTTCCTTGAAAAAGGAAGGGGGGGTGTCAAGATATGAAAGTTGAATGAAGTCTATGTTGTTACATATTCTGTGGTTTCAGCAAGACCAGTATACTGTCACACTTTAAGCAAATTGGTTTCGGTACAGATGTGTCCACTGATCGTGGATAGCAAAGAATATATTCGGAACGAAATGCTTATGTTGCAGGATACCTTTTAGATTTTCATCCATTTATAGATTTACTGGAACAAAATTCTTGTTGCCCTTTACTTGGACTTTCAACTGATGTTTTAGAAAGTGGTTAAAAAGGCATACACACACGTGAACATTTGTCAATGCACAAACGGTCCTCCTTTGCTATGTCTCCTGATACTATCATATAAATTGCTTAGCATGGCATTAGATTGGTAGTGCATCTGGCAAATAAAGACAGATTAGTTGAGCAACATGATTTCATAACCATACCTGAAATAATTCCAAAGGGGATTATTTGGAATATAATAATAATCCCACATTACAGCATGGATTTCTCTGTTCTTCATGATTCTTTCTACTATTGTTAATCCATTCTCCAAGATACGCTTCATTTTTTGAATCTATCCAGAAACATTTGACATTTTTTGATGTCCACAAAAAGCATTTAAAGAGGAGTGGGTGGAAGGAACAAGGTGGAGGCCAGACTAAGAATGGGGAACCCACCTTTGGACTTAAAGTTTTTTTCCCCCTTTCTCTCTCTGGTTATGTTAAGGCGGGACTT